AAATAATTAATAATAATAATAATAATAATAATAATAATAATAATAATAATAATAAATAATAAATAATAATAACAATAATAATAGATAATAATAATAATACGTTTCTCTGTTTTCCTACCATTTTTCATATTTCTTCTAAAAACTAGAAAAAAAGAAAAAAAATGTTGTTTGCACGATTTTACGATTTTTTTACGAAATGCCTCGACAGGTGCTATTTTTGAAGCTCTGTTATAAGAATATGTGGCTTGAAAATTTAAATCAGTTCTGGAAAAATTTTTTTCGATTGTACTTACAACTGCAATTAAAAGTTATTCAACATATGATTCAGCTACCATCCGGAGAATGCAATTCATCAGATTAATGAGTAAAATTGCTAATTTTTACAGATCAATGGATTTGAAACATAAGATATTAGCTTAAATTTGTTTTGATCCATCAGTAAATACACTCATTATCCATTGTTAATATATTATCAGTTACGTCATCATTGCTTTCTCTCCGCTTTCACTCGTTGATATTGTTTGTTGTGATTATTTATAATTTTTATCCATTTATACTTAATTGATAAGAGTTATCATAACTTATATCTTTCTTATCCAACAGAATTGATCATGCCTGATGAAGTTCACTGTCATTTTAACGTATAAGCTTAAATTTTGTTGCAATGAAATGAATTAAATCGATTGAATTTTTATAAAAATATAAATTGATAAACGAACTGTAAATGTCAGCTAAGAAGATTTATCGTGCGTTATCTTCTCTTCTTCATTATTAATAGTATTGGTTTACGTAGTTTAAGAGAATTTCATATGGGGAAATGAAATTTAAAACTTTATTTACTTTTACAAATGTAAGAAAAAAACTTTATCTTAATCCTTTCCTCTTTTTCACTAAGCCATAAAAATTTTCAAATTATTTTACCTCATCTCACATATTGTTATTTTCTGTTTAAAGGATTTTCATTTCAAAATTCTTAACAAACAAATTTTCTTTCCATAGTTTTGAAATTTTAATCGCTCATTTATTTTATCTTCTCTTTTTTCTTCTCTTCGGATAACTATTCAAATCCTATTTACTTTTATAATTAATGCAATTTTTTGCTAACCAAGACATCATCATTACACATCAGAAATGAAGTAGCATATAAGATTAAAAGACTATCTGATCAATTTGTATCGGTAAAATATTGGTGAAAGTAGCAAGCAATGGATATAAATTTCTTTTTCGTCCATTTTCCCTGGAAATTTTAATTAATGCTATTAATCCAGCTAATACTAACTTCATTTTGTCTTCTTCCCTGGATTAAACTAAGTCTAGATTAATTCGATTTCCACTGAATAACGGACCTGAATAAAGTATGAACAGCTATATTCTTGAAATTGTAAAATGGTTGAATTAAACCAAATAAGTAACAAATTAAGACTTGCCAATTTTTTTGATAACTAGAAACAATAAGTGGTAAAATTTCATTTCGATCGAAAACAACTGACCGATAATATGTTACAGTTATGCATTCGATCAGATCAATGAAGAAAAACTGAGCTACGACACTTTAAATTCAATCGTTCACTTATAAATGAATAGGGAAGTAAAAAAGTACAATACTATGGATTTTTTCATTAAAATTATTTTTTTTAAAGGTAAAGAATTCACCAAATTTTATCTTTATAGCAAATGAAAGTCTCTTTATCAGTGCTTTTGCTCTGATGAAAAAAAAAAGCAGCTGTAAAGATTATCATTTCAAAATTGGTGTTGTTTACATTTAGACCTTTTTTTCTTGAGCAAAATTGTTATGCGGGTTGGAAAAGTTTATTACTTACCGTTAGAACCGGATTAGTTATCATACAATAACGACTGAAAGAGTCAATGATTCTTTTAATAAAATACTGGAAATGAAATACTGAAGAGAAATAATGTTTTGCAATGTTTTATTTCTGATTAATTTAAAAATTTATCATTTCAAAATTAATATTCCTGCAGCTAGATTTTTTGTGAGGGAAAACTGAGCTGCAACACTTGAAATTCAATCATTCGCTTGTAAATAAGGAAAGTGAACAAGGGAAGTAAAGAAATACAATACTATGGCTTTTTCCATTAAAATCACTTTTTTGTGCCACTTTTTTCAGTGACAGCTCTTCTGCTAAATGCCTCGACTGCTACTCTGGGTGACAAAAAAAAAAGAAAAAAAAACGTAAATCTCAATGCATTGAAATGTGGAATAAGGCTAAGCATATCCTTGACACTGGATCACCGTCAATGAGATCACTGTTTATGTCGACTGATGAGTTGCTTTGAATTTTATATTTTCTCTGAGAGATAAGTTATGATCCCGAACTTGCTATCTGATGTCATTCGATACACATTGCTATCCAAAATTAAGATCATTTGCGTTTTAGTTGAGAATTTTAGTTTCTCAAAATAGTTGCCAAGTTTTGGAAAGCATTAGGAAAGTATCATATGTAAGAGATATTATATGTCAAATAATTATAATACTTCTACAGATAAGGATGAATATTTCAACATGAAAATAATCAAGCTGATCAAGAAGTACATTCAGGACAGATCGACATAATATGACAAATTACGCGTTCCATTAAAAGTTTTTTACCAATGAGCTCAACTGTAATATCATCAAATGCCTTACATATTTTAAGAACTGACGTGAAAATTAACTCTGAATACTCGAACATTATTTTCATTTTACAATTGTCAATATGAAAAATGGGAAATATCATCATAAATTTGATTTGATTGCCTTTAAAATAATTAATGTGATTTATTTTTGTATACTAATGATAAGTTATTGGAATTCATAATCAAGATAAAAGTGAATATTAATCATAAAAGTGATAAGTAACCACTTTTTCAGGGTCAATTTTAAATTAACCGTAATTATTGATGGAGTGTGATTTTTGTTAGGATTTCTATTAATTTACAAAAGAGAATTATTTTGGAGGAAAAATGCTTCCTTTTTTTTATTTTTCTTATTTCTTCAATTGAAATGTTGCAGTATTTTACGAAAATAAGTGACATATATTAGGAGGGAAAGTCGATTAGTAGGATTAGGAAAGTATGTCGGATTGTAATTGTCTGATGCCCTTTAATCTTTTTAGGAGTTTCTGGTCGTTAATTGCATTTTCAGGTTTTTATTCAGAAACTTAAAAATTCCAATTTTGAATTTATCCAATTTTGCAAATTTTTGGTGTTAAGTTCTTTGCAAAAATTTCACTTAACTTTTTGGTTACAACATTATCTGTCGTTGTGATACAAAGAAATTCCTCATTCCACCATTTGGGATATACATGAGTGGGCAGTAAAATATGAAATAATTGCCGTGTTACTGTAAAATATATCATCCAGACTGAAAACTCTGATGAATGAATCAAATTTAGCAACTTCTTATAAACTGATACTCTTCTGTGGTTATTTTATGAGACTTGCTTCAAATTTAAATTTCTTATAAATTTAAAAAATTCCATTTTCATAAATTTTGGTTGAAAAAAAATTTGTTATTGTTAGAAATAGAATGGCGTAGAAGGAGTGATTTGGATGAGTAAAAGCGATAAAAAATTGCAACATATACCCTTTTTTCTTCCCGTAATTATACAAATAATCTGTGCGGCAGATAATGCGATCCATACAAATAGCTCTGTTTGAATAAATGGGACATTTAATGGAAGATATAGAATTAGCTGATATATTCTATTTCGAGATAAACCATCCGATGTGCATCACATCCTTCCTTTTGCTTTTTCTCTTACAATTCTTCTAGCCTATCCTAAGAGGCTTTTTTTTTTCTTATCTATCTGGGATTATCTGTAAACGAATAAATGTGATAATATTTGGTCCAATAGTAATGTTGAACTTGGCCGGATAGTAACATATATGAACAAATCTAATGGAAATTTAGAAATTGGAGATATCCATTTGGAATTCCATAAAGAATCGCTGATTTGATTTATCTCTATAGTGACTGTTCATGTGTAAAAGTTTGTCGAGATGAAGAGAGAAAGTGAAAGAAGTGATAAGTGGTAACAATTATCTGCTTATTTCCTATTGTTATAAAAGAATAACCCTAAGGTATCGGGTCAATGAAGATAGACTCAGAATGTGATTCATATGAGATGGATATATTTGAAAAACAAGTTGTCGTGATAAATATGTCCCAATAGATTTCTTCGGTTACTATTAAATTTTCACTCTTAATACACTTTAAATAAGATTGTCTCGAAAATTGCATTGTTATATTATCTTCCAGTACAGGTATTAGCTTATCTCACCCAATCAAAATAAAGGAAAAAGAAATAGTTCTGGAAAATATGCGAATGTCACGACCGTTGACTGGATCTTAGATATTGTTTATATATAAATCTTTAGTTGGTCTAAAATACTTTAAATTTCTGAAAATTACTCTGTTACTTTCAGAAAGGGAAGAAAAACGCACCTTTCGATGTACTATATATTGTTTGATTGGGACATTTATATCTGATAAATATTCAACATTTAACAGTACTGTGATCTTTTGCTCAAATCTAATTTTCAAAAGTAAATTTGATTTAACTGGAAGAATGATGCAGTAAGGTGAGGACTGCATTCATTTAAATAATCCCTAAATTATCTACAATGAAATGAAATTGTTTAGGTTGAAAAACGCACCAAATAAGAAGCTAATTGTCTGTTTAAATATTGTTCATTGCAGCATCAATATTTTCCCATTTAGCTATTCAAAGAATTAATACTTTCAAATGCGACAAGTAGTTACATGAAGAAATCTATTCCAAAATGAATGATGTGATGAGAGAATAAAAATATGAAATATTTGATCTGAAATTTTTTTTTTTTTAGAAGTATTAATTCTTTGAATAGATAATATCAGTATGTTTTTTACATGGAGAATTCCAATGATCAAACTAACTTATCTTCTGATATTCGTTCGTTGAAGCTATAAGCTTATCAAATTTTAATGAATTACATGTACTTCGATATGTGCTTATTTGAAAAAGGAAAATGATTAGAGTTGTAACATTCTAAAAGATGAATTGGAATTAGATACAATCGGTCGTGTGCATGATTAGATTTAACTTTGATAATTGCTCTGTTATGTTAGTGGTGCCAGAAAGTCTAATCTTTAAATCATTTGAAGTGTATACCTTTGCTTGCTATAACATTTTCATTTCATTTACCTCCTTCCGAAGTCATCTTGAATGTTTATCTGTTTGTTTTACTATGTAAATGGTTCTCTGTTTGTGTTATACCTCGTCAAGCTACTTTTCCTCCTTCATTTAATTCATTTCACATTAATCAGTTCTCTAAAATTTTTGTTCTAAATTAAAGAATTCAGCTCTATACTTCCCCATTTCATTAGCTAATTAAGCTAATGCATGCGACTTTATCCAAAAATGGAATAAACACTTTAAAAAATTAGTCACAATATTATTTCTAAACAACGTAAATACATAAAAGAATTGTGTATTTACGTTGTTTTGTGTATTCACAACTTTTTTACAAACTCCTCATTTCGATCTTTTTGTTTTGTTTTTGTTTTTTTTTTTGTTTTGTTTTTTTTTTTTTTGCATTATCTTTTTTCTTATTTCGCCAAGAAAGAATTGTTCATGAAATTTGACAGCTATTTGTCTACCTTTTTGTATAATATCTGTTGGATCCATGCGATCCAACAGATATTGGATCATCTAATGACTACAGTGACTTCAAGTATTTTAAATGATTACAGTCTTAAAATTCTCATAATTTATATTTAAAAAGTGGATTTAAACTGGATAAAGTGCGGTTGTGAATGCTTTTATTGATAGTCAGTTTTCTGACTGTTTTTAATGTGTGACAAAGGTGTTGCTATTGCTAATGCAACTTTTCCTGAGAAAAAACTTTCTTGAAAAAATGAAGTTTGAGTTAATGGAAATGGAGATGATGGTGAATGGAGGTGAGATCGAAGAATAAGACTGACATTGGTTTCATTCGAATTTTGCCCTTAAGTTGAGAAAGGATAAAGAAAGTTATACAAGCGTTTAAATTCTACCTTGAGTTGTATGAATGTCAAATTACTTCAATTTCACATATTCGATAGCAATCCAGTTAGTAGTTGCATAATTCATTTGAATTAGTCTGTTACTGATCCAACAATATTATCAGTCAACTTTGAAGTATTATTCTTGTTGCATAACGGTAAAATGACTGGTAGTGGAGATGAAAGTCGAGATGAAATGAAATAAAATGGAACTGAAGAAAGATGTAAGAATTGAATAGGTCTGAAATAATGCGAATATATGCACATTATGCATACCCATGTTTGTGTTTATTTACATGCACGTAATGAATGCAACAAGGGATGGACAAAGGATCATCAATAGTTCATCCACACAATGTGCTTCAGATTTTTATCGTTTCAGTCATCCCTGACCTGTTCATTAATTTCCACCTATACCTGGAATGACAATATAGCACATTGTATATTGTACGCAATAAAACATTGCTTTTGTCCATGACGATTTCGTAAACATGTTGTAAATGGGTGTAGGAGAATAGGTTTGTCCATTTGAAGAACAATGGAAACCTGAAAAACTATTAATCTGACCGTCGTTAACATATGTGTAACATACATTTTTTTGCAAAAGAAGAAAATAAAATATGCACATTTTTCAGGAACGTAAAGGAGTGCCGGTGATCGACGGTAGTGGTATAGTATCCGTTAGAAATGCGGAATCGGACGGTGTAGCGGTCCTAGGATTATTTGCTTGAAGCTATTCTCAAAAAAGCCGAGGCCCTGAAGGGACGAGGACCAGTTTGCCTTAGGCCCCGGCTAGGGGCGTTATGCTTGAAGTTGAAACCTCGGCTAGTGAGCCGTTGATACTTCATCCTGATATCAACAACAACAACAACAACAACAACAACAACAACAACAACAACAACAACAACAACAACA